TCAAAACAGAAAACTGAAACACAAAAAGAATGGCCCCTTAATTCTTATCTATGTTTGACACACTTTCTTTGAAAATATTTTTTTTTCAAAACTCATGTCAAATTACACATTCTCTAGTAACATAATATGTTACATCATATCAATATATTTTCCTTATTTTTTAATCACACATCATATCACTATTTAAAATATATTATTTTCTCAATAATATCTATCAAACACATTACGTTTATTTCAGAAGTAACAATTTATTTATTTATTTTAGTGATAAAACATTTAATCAAATTAATAATGGGTTTACAAAACATAGGACTAGATCATTTACGGCACACATTTAAGTCGCGTCATAAAAAGTCTATTTTTACGGCAAGCGACAATTGCACGCTGTAAACATATGTCGTAAAAAGCTATTTTTGTTGTTGTGAGATTATAATTTAAATTGGAGGAAACTGACATAATATGTGAATTCATCTCTTACTCTTTTATATATTTAAAAATAATTTCTAAATAAGTAGACCTAGTGAAGAATTTTTAGTGGTACTCAGATCTACAATTGCTAATATGCAATAAGGTAAATAACTATTTCCTTGGCTTCTGGTGTTTGCTTTGCAAGTCTGAAAAATTCTAATTTAAGCTCAAATTGACAAATATTGTAACAATTTTAGTTACATTTGATTATCAATACTTTCCATGAAAATGTATTTTTTCCACCCAATTTCCAACTTTTGTGTTGTTTAATTGACAATCTTTTCCACGAAAAATATTTTTCCACTTTTGATCACGTGACTATATTTTCCTTGAAAATAATGAATTTTTTTTTTTTTTTTAGGAAGATGTGATTTTTATTTTTCCACCAATAAAAAATGACATGTATAATATTTTCAATGTTTAAAACTAAATCAACCAAACACATTTAATTAATAATTTTCATACAAAAAATTTATGGGCAATTGAATTGTCTAGAATTTATTTTCCTTTCATGTAAATTCCTTGTTCGCAATCAAACACGCCATTAGTTATGATTAGTTTTAAGAATTTTCATGGCTACAAATACTGTATATGATAAGAATGGTTCAGTTTAAACTGATAACTACAAATTTTTTAAGTTTGAGTTAAATTGTTAAACCCATGCAAATCAATCCAGTTATAAATCCCTATATATTCTCTTCTTCCATGGTTTTGAATACCAAATATTTCTAGGGCTAATGGTGGATTGTGTTATCATTTTCGGTGTAATGAGTTGTATACCAGCATGTTTTCTGGGTTGAACTCGTATATATATATTTTTTAAGGATTGAAATCGTATAAAAAAATATATATGCGAGTTCAACTCAGAGAAACTTGGTGGTGACTTCAGGAAGTGTTGCTGGTGGATTTACTTTAGTCATTTGATCTTTTTCTTTTTCTTTTTTTGCCCTATTATGAATTTTCTGCAATTATTTTTTACATTATAAGTATAATGTGCATGCTTAAAGAAAAGATTTTAAGAACAAGTGAAATGACATATAAATTAATTGTTGAATAAGTTTATGATAGGTTTCAAAAATTAAATGATTCATCAATTAATTGAATTGTCGTATCATAAACTAAAGGATTCTTAACCTTTTTCTCTTTTCTTTTTCATCCAATTTTTTAATGAAAGATATCAATTTGTAATTAAGCCCCCTTTTCATGGCCATTATTTGAGAAAAAACATTAATGTTTTGAATAGTAATTTTTAGAAGAATATATGGTTAAAATGTAAGAGAAAATTTTGAATTTACGTGCAAAATATTTTATTGTGTGAATGTATGGTTGAAAATGATTATACAGAAAAATATAATTTTCAAATAATGGCCATCAATTAAATAGGGGCTAAATATCAAATATATTAATTGTTTGTTTAATTTTTTAAAGGCTTATACTATTTACTTAATTAGGGTGAGTTTAAATTTTTAATTCTTTTAGAAATATTTTTTTATTACATAGGGAAGGAGGAAAGGATGGTGGGGATGGAACCTCCACTCCTATGTGAGAATTACCTACTCTATTTTAAATGGAAGCATTCAAAAGTAAGATGAATTCTATAAAAAATTTATAATAAAAATCTGTAGTCTATGAAAGATTTTTATTAATTTCATACAAATTTATAAAAGTATGAATTCTACAAAAATCCTCACTTGAAAAAGTCTATAAATAATTTTAAAAGTCACAATTAAATACACCTCCTTAGTATATACTACATTGAAAAATTTTATTATCCAAATAAGGTTATTAGTTTATCAAACATTTATTTATTGAGATTTTACTGTAAAGCATTTCGTATTAATAACTAAACAAACATACTTAACCTCTGTTTGGTTTAACTAAAGGTCACATTTTTAGTAGATTTTGATAAAAGTAAATGAAATGTGTGGTTAAAAAATTAATTAAAGTTATGAATTTCATGAAATATGTGACTAAGAATGAATTTGAGGAAAATGAGTTTTAAAAAAGTAAGGATTAACTTAATAGTTCATTTCTCTTGAATATAGTAGGGAATCTTGTTTTCTAGCCAAAGTTGTGAACTTGAAATATAGCCAAAATATCAACATCTTTAATATAATATTCAGCGATTATCCTTCTTCTTCTTTTTATTGCCAAGACTCAAAATATGACAATATCGATATTTAGCCCACGTTTAACAATTATTATTTGGGAAAAATAGAGTTATGAATGGTGATTTTTAGAATAATAATGTTTAGTTAAAAGTAGGAAAATGTTTTGAATTTACGTAAAAAATATTTCATTGTTCGAATGTGTGTTGAAACTAAGTGTGTAGAAAAAAAAGGTTGAATAAAATGATTGTCGAATTGGGGCTTAATATAAGCTAAGTTACCCTAAACATCGGTGTTTACTAAATTATTTCTCTTATATGCATTGCTAACTTTTATATATTTAGCACATATTTTGGTTTAGTTAAAAAAATTGATAAAAAATCAAGTAAAAATCAATAATTAATTTTAATCACATATATCATGATATTGACAATATTTATCAATTTTTTAACCATACAATTCAACCGTTTAACAAAAATTACTAAAAATCTAATTTTTAACTAATCAAACATGGGCTTAATTACTTATTCTTTTATATACTATTGGGAACCTATATGATTCAAAAGTAATTATTATTTTATACATTTAACGAGTCTATTAATTCATAGGTTATATGACAAATATTTTCAAAATACATTTTTTTTCTCTCTTTTTTTCAACCACCCTTCTAAAATAAAAATAATATTACACACAAAATTGAAATTTTTTCCTTATTTTTTAACCACACATTCTCCGTCAATCTACTATTCCAAAAATTGGGATTATTAAAGACTTTTAAAAATTAAAACGTGTATGAGTATTCAACACAAACTTTTTAAGACTATTTAAATGTATTGTTTTAATAAAATTCAATAGAAACTTTTTAAAAATCTCTACAAGTCATGTGGTATTCAAAATGTTAATGACTTTAATTTATATATATATATATAAAATTCTCTACTATACTAATATTTAAATAGAAAATACAAATATAAAATCTCCAATTTTGTCTCTTATTCTTCCAAAATTTTGGAAGACTAAAGAATTTTTTTATACATGGTTTTTTTTTCTCTTTCAATATTTTTCTTTCCTCTTTTCCTTCAAGAATTTAGAGT